ACAGGCTGTAATAGCATAACTGCTTAATAAAAACATAAATTCCAGCTGTTATTTGAACATCTATTACACAGAGATTCAGGAAGGTTAAGACCGAACTCAAAACATCATTTGTAAAATGCAAACATAGTAGTATATATATATATATATATATATATATATATATATATAGTTTTATAGAATCAATGAAAAGGTCCTTAGATGAAAACAACAGACACTTTCTTTTAAAAACACAAAAACATTTTAGATCAAGCAGACGTTAAATTCTTTCATTCAGAGAGAGCGGATCATCTGAGATCGGGGGGGTAGTATGCACAGCGATGCAGCATAAATATGTAGAAACCTCAAAGAATTACTGGGCTTTAAGGGACCTGCAGCTTTCAACTGATGACATCTGAGGCTTTATGTTTTCGTTAGCAGAAGGAAGCGAGTGAATTTATCTCCAAAAAGCAAAAGGATTTTAAACTATTGTTAAAAATAAGAAATGTGAAAAAGTTTCACCAGAAGAAAAGTTTTCTTCATGTCCAAACGACTGTGTCTGCAGCTGCATCTACAGGAGAAGTATAACTGAAATGTGAAAAATAAGGGAATCTAACTGTAAATGTTTGCCACACAAAGTTAAAATGCAGTCGTGAGCAGACAGCGTGGCGTCGCCCGGGTCAGAGTCAGAGAGACGCTGCTGAATAGTAAGGACCCAGCAGGATCCAACAGTTCCCTCCGATCGGGGCTGACAGCAGCCAGGCAGCAGAGGGTTGAGGAAAATGTCAAGCAGAGGAAGAGAAAATGGATCATTCATGTCTGTATTCAAGCTGCGTCTTCTGCCTGCAGACGCCGCCGCGCTGCTGTGTCCTCCAGCTCACACTGGGTTCACACATCTAATCTGCCCCACAGCGACAAACACCCTCTGCTCCTACAGCGCAGCTGCATGCTCACCTCCAGGCATGTTGTTGTTTTCCAGTTTTTATGAATAATTTGGCTTTGGCGTGACAGTTGTCGAGTCAGCGCCTCAGCAACAGCCCCCTGAGGTGCGAAGGATGGGCCCCGTTATAACGGCCGTTCACAGTGAACGCTGGGATCTCAGAACGACGGGAACAGTCCAAACTGTTTCAGAAGGCCTGGTTCTGCTGGAGGTTTGTTCCCGTTCAGAGGGAGTTTTTCCTCTCCACTGTCGCTACAAGCATGCTTAGTGTGAGGGATTGCTGAAGAGTCAATATCTACCGTCTCTTCCTTCTCATCCATACGTCAAGGTGTGACAGGAGCTTTAACAGTTTGTTTTTCACCTGATTTGTATGTGTCTAATATATGTGGAAAAAGGTTCTTCAAAGCCTTATTTTATGACATCTGAGCAGAGGAGTTGATGGCATGTGCCGGGGATGTTACGGCGTAAAGAAGCGGATCTCGCTGTTTCCCAGCGCAGGCTGATCAGTGAAGGAGCCGCAGCCGAGGGAAGGAAAGGCTTTTCTGTCAGAGCTGCAGTTCAGGCAGTTTTAATTACCAGAGGACAGAGTGAAGGCTCATTAGCTGAATGGGTCTTAATGAGGCTAGTTAAGCAGATGAAAAGACAGCGTCCCCTTGCACTACATTAACACATTAGTGCAGGTAATGGCCCTGCAGGTAAAGATGGAGGGAGGGCCTCCTCTGTAGCAAACTTCAGTCCGGCTATACTTTATTTCAGACGGACACTTGGATGATGATCTTGCTGGGCGTTCAGACACTTCTAGATATATGCTACTTCAAGGCTTGTCTTCCTTAACTCTGCGCAGACAGAAGTAAACGATCTGAGTTGGGATTATTCTACGTAATACCTTAAGGTAAGTGAAAGACAGCTCTGGAAGCCCTGCTGGGAAGCATACACTGACAGCTGACAGCCATAAAATGGGCTGTTGTCAGGGGAAAAGCTTTCTCAGTAAATACTTGATGGCCCCAGCGGGAAACCAGCGCTCAATTGTTGCTGTTTTACATCTTTGGATTAGTCATGAAAACTCACATGGTGCAGTAAGACTCACCTAAATAAATACACAGTCCACAGAGTCCCAGCGCTGGGCTGCAGATGGAGGTTCATTCAGACACAAACAGAAACACAAACTAACACATCTCTCTATCTCTGCAAGGATTCTACATTTACTCTCCTTCTTTTCCATTTTCATTCCATGGACCAACCTAAACTAACCATTACCCCTATTTACCCACCCCAACCTAAACACACCCTGACTAGTATATAACTAACCCAGCCTAAACTCCACCTAACTAGCATATAACTAACCCAACCCTGACTATTATATGACTAACCCAACCTAAACTCCACCTTACTAGTATATAACTAATCCAACCTAAACCCACCCTAACTAGCATATAACTAACCCAACCTAAACTCCACCTTACTAGTATATAACTAATCCAACCTAAACCCACCCTAACTAGTATATAACTAATCCAACCTAAACCCACCCTAACTAGTATATAACTAACCCAACCCTGACTAGTATA